CATATTGACCCACCTGCACACACACATACATACACATAGGCACATTCACAGAAACACATGCTCTTTCACCTTCCCACACACATAAACACAATGCACAAATGCACATATACACATGCACACAAACACAACACAAAAATGCAACACACAATCGCATATACAAGCACACATGCATAAACCCTCTAGCACACCCATATAAACACATTCACATATGTAGAAACATGTGTGCACATACTATCGGGAATAGAAGGTCATAAAGGACAATTAGAGTTTAGGTACATGTACTCATTTGACTATCCAGAATGAGACAAAGATGACTAACACTGGACAGTCACAGGGCCAGAGAGACAGTGACTCTGTTATATAACTACTCCTGGAAAAATGCCACTTATTGTATGATTCCGTTTAAATACATCCTAGAGAGTAAAAGCTTCAGCTGTCTATAGGACTGTGTGTCTAATTCTGTGTAGACTGTGTGCCGATGTGTTCTGGGTACCTGCCAGCATCTACCTGTGTTTCAGTAAATAAAACATGTCACATTTGCCTATGGCTCCTCAGGTCTTTTACTTCCCAAGCCCCTGTGATCTTCTTTTGTGGTGTTGGAGCTCAGACCCAACACACATACATGCATGCACACACACACAAATATATGCAAACACACATGCATGCATAATCACATGCACAACAAAACCACACACAAACACATGAGCACAGGCACACACATACATAAGCATATATCCACAAACATGTACATAATACATGTTTCATAATACACGAAAACATGTGGGAACTGCAGCCCCGAGTTACATATCCCTGCCCCCATTTGAGGTGCTTATCTGCAAAGAAAACATAATAAATTCCCTCTGCTCCTGGAGTTGGGAAAGGAATTTTGAGTGCATGGTGATCATTCCTTGATCCCTGCTGGGGTCAGGTGACAGTCCCTTCGCAGCCCCCTCCCCATTTGGTGCCATGGTATAAAAGCTAGCCCCAGCAGAATAATAAAGAAGCTGTTCCACCTCAACCTCATGCTCTGTGAATTCATTCAACCTGGACACCCTCCGCCGAGATTCTTGGTTCCAGCCTGCGCTGGCGCGGTAAAAACATATACACAAAACAAATATAAATACAATTATGTACCTAAATATATGCACACACATACCCAATATATGCATGTGCACACACACATGCTCAAAATATACACATGTGCAAGTGTGAACATGCAACAAATCATGCTTTTTAAAGTACTAGCATATGCCAAATTATAAAAAAAGAATAGATTTAAACATACAATCAAGTTACTTTCTCAGTGTTCTAAGAACTGCAAAGTTCATAGATAATCTGAACGCAAAAAAAAAAAATAGCATGATAGTGCACACCTGTAATGCTGGTGCTTGTTTTGGAGGCAGGAGGTTCAAGGTCATCCTGGCTATGTAGTGGGTTTGAGGTCAGTCTGGGTTACATAAATCCCTTTCTAAAAAAAAAAAAAAAAAAAAAGCCAAAAAACAAATAGGATTCCATCATACACAAAAGGTGAGAGGGCAAGGAACTGAAAGGTGAGAGGGCTAAACTGCAGGAATGAATTGGGAATTAGCAGAAATGTGAGTAGTTCCAAATGAGTTGACGCATGAAGTACAAGAAGGGAAAGACACAGGCATTGAGGCTGGACTGGCAGGCAGGGCTAGATTGTGAAAAGCCTCACTAACAATGTAAGAGGATTAAATCACTAACTAGAAGGCAACTGGGCAAAAACAATGTTTGTTTCCCAACACAGGGTTTCTCTGTGTAGTAGTCTGGCTGTCCTGAAACTTGCTCTGTAGACCAGGCTGGCCTCAAATTCAGAGATCCAATAGCCTCTGCCTCCCGAGTGCTGGGATTAAAGGTATGCACTACCACGCCAGCTAAAAGCAATGTATTTAAAATCAAGAAATAGTACGGCCAGGCTTGTTAAATGCAAAAGGGTTGCAGAGATGGTTTGGCGATTAAGTGTACTTGCAGCTCTTGCAGAGGATCCAATTTCAGTTCCCCACACCCACAAGTAGCTCACAGCTGCCTGTACTCCAACTCAAGGGAACGCGTGTGTGCGTGCATTTATTTAGTTGCATGATGGGGAAGCTAAGTCAATCACATCTGGCTAGGGTGTGGCTGCCTGGGGCCAGGGAAAAAAGACCTAGGAATCCAGGTGCGTGCTCGCGCTCTCTCTCTCTCTCTCTCTCCCTGGTCGTATGAGTTTCTCCGTTTATTAAATTATATTAGTTGTTTTTGAGCTGGTCTGGTTAATTCTAACTACCAGTCGACCACACCCTTCAGTTGCATGTGTGCACATGCCTGTACATATATGTGCATAAAAGAGCAGCCTGTGGAGTGTCAGCTCTCCCTCCATCATATGATTTCCAGGGAAAGTATTTACTTTATCATATGTGTGTATGTGTGCCTATGCGTATGTATGCATATACATACATATATGTGGTGTGTATGTATGTTTCTGCTGCTTAGAGAAGCCAGGAGGGAGCAGCACACACCCTGGAACTGCAGTTATGGAGTTATAAACAATTATGGGAGCCAAATCTGGATCCTCTAGGGAGCAGCAAATTCTAACCACTGAACAATCTGTCCAGATCTGGGGAAATTTTAATGAATTAAACCTAGGGTCTCATGCATGCTGGGAAAAATTACTGTCAGAAACCTCTGAAATAAAATTAGCACAATGACACTCACCTGTAATCCCAGGACTTGAGGTAGAGGCAGAAGGATCAGGAGTTCAAGACCAGCCTCAGCTACACAGTGACTTGAAGGCCAGCTTGTTGTAAAGAGGAGTGGGCTGCATTCCCACCGCCTGGCTAGCTTATACCCCGAAATAACAACACACAAATTGTTTCATTTAAACACTGCCTGGCCCATTAGCTCTAGCGTCTTCTTGGCTAACTCCCACATCTTGATTCAACCCATTTCTAATAATCTGTATGTCACCACGAGCTCGTGGCTTACCAGAAAAGATTCAGCATGTCTGACCTGGCAGCTTCATGGCGGGTGGCTCTATCTCTGCCTCCTTCCTCCCAGCATCCAGTTCTCTTTTTCCTGTCTAAGTTTTGCCCTATCAAAAGGCCAAGGCAGTTTTCTTTATTCAACCAATGAAAGCAACACATAGAAAGAAGACCCTCCTACACTACCAGCTGAACTACATAAAATGCTATCTTATTAAAAAGAAAAAGAAACAAAAGAGCATTTACTTTTTTTCGTAAGCTTTATTTTTATCACTCTTATCCACCACACATCGGGAAGCTATCAACAGTGCATCGCATGGTGAGTCAGTTCACAACAAAACTGAACAAGGCAATTGTGTTTACAGAGGAGTTTTCAGCAGAAGTCTGCAATGCAGCTCGCTGAAACACAGTGCTCACACGTTATAGGGAGGTGGAGATAAAGTCCTCTGCTATCAGCAAGAAAACAGACGTCTGAGAGAGTGGTATGGAAATCAGAAATTTAGGGATTTGAAAAAAGAACATCTTGGTACTAAAACACATCTATCTACATTTATAGTCCCACTTAGTTCAAACAAACAACAACAAAAGCCCAACCATTCACAAGCAGTAAAACATCATGAAAAACAGAATCACGGCATCAAGAAGTGCCAAGACCAACACGCTACTGGAACATGGGGTAGAATGTCAGAGACAGCTCCTCACTAAACATTGTCAAGCTCCTGTCCTCTGAGGTGAAGGTCACCCAGCAGGAGCCAACACTCCTTAGAACTGGCTTTGGTTTAGGTGATCTTTCACGTGTTTTTAACCAGACCTTCGATGCCCTGTTTGCAAGGAAAAGCAGTAGTAGGTTTTCATAGAACCAATCACTCCAGTGCCAACATAGTCTCGAGTTCAGAAACCATGAAAAGGTATTGATAATAAAGGAATTCCTAGGAGTGACAAAAAAGATGGAAAAGATAGAGCCCTTTTTAGGAGGGGAAAAAAAGCCTTCTACCCCAGATATGAAACTACTTAAAGAAGATTAAGGAATGTTAAAGTATTTTAAAGTTTTTCAAAAAAAAAAATAACGAAGAATTAAAAATAAATTCTGATGGAAAAGATGTGACAGTTTTATATTCTGCTAATCACAGACATGAAGATTAAGGTTTTTAACATAATAATAAACAGTACTTACACTTTTCACAAGGTGCTGTAACTCTGCAGTTAGTGCATACTAATGTCACCCACCCCCTGTGCAAAAGGAAGACACAGACGGCTGATCCTCAGTTTCCTTCTGAGTCTCAATTTGCAAGAATAGTAATAAAGCACAAATGCACAGGGCTGGAATTCAAATACTTTACAAAATTAGGACAAACTGAATATGGATATTTAATCTGGCCTCATAAACCCTGACAACAATCTGCTGGGGAACAAGGATGAGGAATGTGTCCGAAAGGCAATGTTTTCATGCTACAGGTGATAATATAGATTTTTAGATTGTGAACTATATGCGGAAGATTACTAACACCAGTAAGGGAGTCACTTTCTTCTTTTCTCTATCCATATTAATCATTCTCTTCTGGTGACCCACCTAATAAAATAACACAGTAAAGGTAATTCAAGTAACTGAGAGGAGCTGACAGAGAAAAGGAAAGTGATTCCAACTGAGGATTTTATTTATTTTTATTTTATGTGCACTGTTGTTTTTGCCTGCAAGTATATCTGGGTGAGGGTGTTGGATTCCCTGGAACTGGAGTTAGACAGTTGTGAGCTACCATGTGGATGCTGGGAATTGAACCCAGGTCCTCTAGAAGAGCAGTCAGAGCTCTTAACCCCAGCCATCTCTCCAGTCCTCCAATGGAGGATCTTGAAGAATTACTAGAGGTATACTCACTTATAATAGTGGCTGCAGGTGGTGGTAGCCTGTCTACACAAGTTGCTCAGTAAGAAACAAACAAAAAAGCAAACAATTCCAGTTTTCTTCTCAGAATGTAACTTGCTTTCATTATACAGAGAAGTAGAATAAAGCTGTCTTTTGCACAACAGAGATTAATGGTCACTCAGGCAAGTAAGAACATGTCTTGTTGTCTTTTCATTAAAACACTAGGAACTGAGTTCACAAAACACACACCATCTTCAAAAGAGCCACCAATTTCTCTTCACACTGTTGTGACAGCTATCTAGTTTAATACTCAGGCAATTGTTTAGTGAGGTTCCCAGGAATGCCAGCATTTAGAATGGTGTCAACAAACACAGCTGTCTTGGTTATGACTCTCTGAAAGGCACAAATACAGCAAATTTAAAGCAATTATTCCCATAAGCAGCACAAGAAACAGGGAAAGTGCTGAGCTACAGATAATCAATAGTTTATCAGGATAAACAAATTTGTGTAAACTTTTGTGTTTGTCTTATATCCTGAAAAATTCCCTTAATGACCATCTATAAAGTTTCCTACAAGAGTTGGGCATGATGGTGCACACTGTGATAAGCAGCACTTGGGAGGCTGAGACAGGAAGATCCTGAGCTGGAGGCCAGTCTAGGCTACACTGTGAAACCCTGTCTCCAAAAAGCTGTGTATCCTAAATGCTCCCTGGCATATATGTATTTCTTTGACAGCTCATTTCTTCTATAAAGTCATAGCAAAAATAGTCTAAATTGTTTACCTTCTTAAATATCTAGTACCTGCCAGCTGCTGGTCATGGTATGAAGCATCAGTCATCAGACAACTTTAGACATAGTGAACACCATCTTGGGGAGGACAAAAATCACGATCCATCCTGTGGTATCAGGTGAAGAAAGGACCAAAATTCATTACAAATGGGGGGGGGGGCACTCTAAAAACTAAAATATCCAAGCTTCTCCTTGATTAAGAATCTAAAATCTAAACACCGAGATGAGCTCCACATGACAAAGACTCAAGATCAGGGTGTTCTTTGAGGAAGTTAGGACACCAGGTGGAAAGACTACAGACCCCTACTCAAAAGAAAGGCGAAAGCTGAGCACCTCAAGAAACAGGATTTCTTTTGAGCTAGCAGTGACCAGGGACTGGTCTGTATGTGACCACAATTTACAAGAAATAGAGAGAGAGCTAGAGCAATAAGATTTAAGGAGAGAACCCTAACAAATGGAACGTGATCCCAGCATTAGATGTGCTGGATAATTGGCCTTTCCATCAACATGCAACACTGAGGTACATCAAGTAGGAAGAGTTTTACACATACATACTTTTAAAGAAAGCCAAGGAAATTCTGGACTCACATGACTCAATCCAAGTTATTCCAAGAAAAGGCGACAGTGTAGTCGTCACCTGGAGCTTTTGCCCAGATGAGGTTTAATATTCATCAGGAAACACAAGGCACTTGCTCATATGAGCCAGCTACACATCCAACAGATGGAAAGTCACAATGTGATCCTACCTGTACCCTAATCTGAAAAAAAAAGTCAGCCCGTACCCTTTGAGTGAGAGTTTAGGTAGACCACATGGCTACAAGTGTCTCCCTGGCTGATTCCCTCACCCACTATGCTGTTCTAATTACCATCGGGTACAATGATGTTCATTTTCAAAAACTGCTGAAAAATACAATGCTACGTACAATAGGCCTAAGAAGTCAGAGTGAGGACTACCAAAAATGTCGACAAACTGTCAGCCACCTGCCTTTGATCAACAAATTCAAAAGAGCCATGAAACAGCTTCTGATGAACAGTCTAATCTGCCTTTAAAGTTACGCAAACGCTGAAGCCCATACTTAAGGGAAAGTCCAGTGTAATAAGACACCTGCAATTCTTCTGCACTTTTCTCTGTGAGGCAGCACGGTTGGTGGCAGGTTAACATATCTCAACACTCTTTAGCAGCTACAGATGAAACAGAAGGCCGTGCTTCTCTCAATGAAAACAGAGGCAGATGAGTAAACCTACATTAGTCATATGATTCTAAAAGCAGCCGTAAACTTAGCTCAGGAGACAGCAGAGAGATTTCCCAAAGATAGATGCTGTGCCAATGGCCACAAAGGAAGGAGGGTATCCAGTGCTAATAAACCCCTTACTGAGGTGCCCAACACTACTATTCTCTTCTAAATATAGTATTAAAGTTTTATCACGGCTACTTGCCACTTCCTCCAAATACTTCTAAAAAATGCAAAATTCCCCAGGAGGCAATCACTTCCTCTGCCTTATCTGGAACAATGTGCCCCAGTAGAGTAGTACCATGGAAGAATAAGGAAGGAAGTGGGAAGGCAAGAGGGGAGGAAGCACAAATACTAAAATAGGGAAAGAAAAACTACCTGAGATAAAAGTTGCCCCCAGAGAAAGGTGCTAATATGAATCCTTGCCTCTTTACCTTGCCCAGTAAAAGAATTCCAGATTTTTAATAACTTCAAAGAATTAAGATTTCTGTGCATATATTTATTGGAAAAATTGCATCTTTTATAACACTTGGTCCTATTTAAGAAAGTCCTCATGGTATCAGAGGAGGGAGACTATGCAGCTGTCCTCTTTGGTAAATGGGCTAAGAACTAGCAAACAATGGTTTAAATCATAGTAGGGTAGCTTTTGTTTTCAACTTTGTGGCTTCAATATAGAATATTTAATTCAATACATTTACTTGGGTCCACCATTTACTTCCTTAGTTCCCTTAAAATCAAGTTAGCATCGTCTGCAATAAGTCTACAGGGTCAAACACAACACACATTTATGACTACATTTGCACTGACAAGGATCACAGCAGGCTGAGTGCAGAAATGTGAGCAGCATCTACCCGACAGAGCTTGGAAGCTTATCTGCAGTTTATTTGCAAGGATCTTTTTTATGAGACAGGGAACATATGTCAACCATACTTGTTTTTCCAAAGAATTCACCTGTACCCTGTGACCACAGAAGCAGTCCCTGATGTAAATAGTTATGCTCTAGGAAAGCATAGGGCTTCACAGTACTGATTCCATGCTCTCTAATTCTGACTTGAAAACCATCCAATCAATCCTGAAAGAGCCTTCTATCTAAGGAACATATCGGGGACCATGATGTAAGACCTTGACGTAATCCCCTTAAAACAAATTTAACGTCAGAAGAGGGAGCTCTGAATAATTTGATTTTACTAACAAATGTTGGACAGTGTATTTTTCAACAGGGTAAAATAACTCATCCTTTAAAATGCAAATTGTAATGGAGCTTTCAGGAGCTTATATGGTTCGGACAAGAGAAGACTATATAAGCAGGCTGCTGTCAGGGAAAGAAACATGCTCTTTCCTAAGGAAAAATAAATAAATAAAACTTTCATTCAGGTAAGGAGACAGGGAAAATTCCAAACTGGTGTCCAGTCTGTGGTTGCCCTGTACTATCAGTGCTTTACTAGTTTACAGCTTTCAAGGCAATCCACTAGAGAAGAAGAACCCACGCCCACAATCCTCAAGTCACAGTCCGTCTGTGCCCACAAACTCACGACAACAGGCGCCTCTAATCAAGGACACATTAGATCACTACAGAGCTTCTAGGAACTGAGTTTTGATTCCTTTCTACTTCCACCTCATAATACCCCAACCTTTCTTTACTCCCTTACAGTCAAAAGCCCTCCAGCTGCAGACAGAGGCAAAGGGGACAAGGGATGAATGTGGCAGGGCAGCAGGGAGGACACAGAGGAGGAAAGGATCCATGATACCTTCTTTGCACTTTTCTCTTTTCCCTTCACTGTACAACAAACTTTTTTCTGATCCACCTCAATTTCCCATTACAGCAGAAAAAAAAAATTACATCTGAAGAAATTTTTACAATTATCACAAGAGGTTCAGTACAAACAGATGAGTTAATCTTGGGTCTAAAGTAGACCAAAGAATGGTATAATTTACATGTACAAAACCTTCTTTGTTCCAGTCACTCGGAAGAGTTTCAGTGTAACCCTGGTCTAGACTCCAGTTTGTTCTGCACTTTTTGTCATTTACATTCTATCAGTCAGACCAACTTTCGAGAAACCTGTATGTCAAGTCTCACAAGTGTGAAACAGGCAGGAAGAAATGGTTATAGACTGCATTAGCTCACAAGACTCACACTATAAAGTACACTGACTCCAATTTCTCTATTCTTTCACACCTGCACACCCACTCAAGCACACACACTAGACATAAAAATTGTGCAAGATCAAGCATCAGCTTTCTATTGTAAAAGCCTTAATAGTAATTTTAAAAATGTTGACAGGCTCACTGCAGTTTCTTCAGAGGAATATTAAGTTCTACAGTTCCCTTAGAAAAACTCACAACTCATTGTTAGGAACACGGGAGGTAACTGCTGCTTGACAATGACTTAACATTAGAGCATCCAGTGCCAGCTAGAACAGCAATGAGATACACCTGACAATACAAACAAACAACCTGTGATGTCACCAACCCTAACAAATCTGTTAATAATATTCACTATGACAAATTACTCATCATTGCTTCATCATCACATGAAATGACATCTTTTTAGGTTACATACTAAAGAGCAGCACCTGCCCTACTGCACAAGTTAAGGGTGCCCACATGGGTGCTCTAACCCCCTCAATGTATAGCTGAGAGGTCTTGTCCTACTCAGTGCCAATGTTTGCAAGGCAGTCACTGTTTGGGCAATGGCTGCACATTAGTAGGATTAAATAAATGTACAAGGTACCCTTTAAAATGGGTAAAGGGGTGCTCCTGCATTCAGCTGTGGAATATAATAATCCAAGAAATGGAAGAGGAGAAACAGGAAATAGTCCTTAGGTTACTAATTAAAGCAAGGTTTGATACAGGTATCCCCTCTTGTAGGCACTCAGCGGGTAGAATGTAGCCACAACAAACTTTCCGTCAAACATCCTCCCAGTCAGCAATTTCTGAGCAGCTTTGGAATCACCAGCGTTTGCGTACTCAACAAAGACCTGCAGGGAGGTTAGAGAAGACAGCATCATTTCCCAGCAGTGACTTTAGATTTAGACCAGTACTTTAATGGTACCCAGTTACATGACATATAAAAACATTAATTAAAGACCATGTGAGACACTGGTCCTCTAAGGTCATAACTCAGTTGGAAATTCATATTGCCTGGCATTTACTGTACCTTTCTGGCATTGACACCAGGGTTTACCTGTGTATCACAGCTGCCTACAGTATTCAAGACAGTAATATCCCAGGTTTGTAGGTCAGCAACAACAGACTACAACATGCAGTCTAGTTTTGTAGGCTCTATCACGCAAGCATAAGTGTGCTGTGTATCAGTTTGCACAACAAAATCACAGAAATACATTTCTCATACTATTTCCTATTATTAAATGACATGACTGTGTATCACTTGGGGATTTTGTTAAAATACAGATTTGCTTCTATCAGTTCAAAGTACAGCTTCAGGGTCTGTAATTTTTTTAGAAATTAATTCTCTGTGTGTGTGTGTGTGTGTCTGTGTGTAAGTCAGAGGATAACTCTCAGGAGTCAGTTCTCTCCTGCCACCTTATAGGATTCTGCAAAAGAACTTGGGCCATCTAGCCTACCCACAAAAACCTCTACCCCAAGTCATCCTACCTGCCTGTGTCTGCTTCGTCACATTTCTTAACAAGCTCTGAAGGCAATGCTGATAATCCACTGAGCACACTTTATAGTAGGTTAAAACACTTCCTTAGAACTCAGCTCAATTCATCAAAGTCTTAAGAGCTATCAAAGACAAGTTAGGTGAAAAAGCATACGAGTTTTAGTGAAACTCACAGGAGTAAGGAGTAGTAGACGACAGAGCCAGGTAAGGATGTAGAGCCTGGAGAGAAACTAACACCACAATAAAGAAAGCTACACTCGCAGAAGTACGTGATGGGAAAATACCTGAACAAAGCTACTAGCAACTATGCCTGTCAAGATATTTGTACCAACTACAGACCGAAACTATAATAAAGAAGTCCAAAACCAGTGATTTCCTTTCCTGGAGCATCTGAATTCTTCCCCAAAATAGAGACTGGAACAAGGAACCATGGACATTCTCTTTGCTGCCCTAAAGCAAAAGGGCAGGGAATGGGAATGATTTGGAACGACTTGTTCTCAGTTATCCCACACATCAGAAAATGAATTAGATTCAAGAACTGCCTCTCTGCTCTCTGTCACTTACTCATTATGTCAAGAATTACCTCCTGGAGATGGTGGCGCACACCTTTAATCCCAGCACTCTGGAGGCAGAGGTAGGCGGATCTCTGTGAGTTTAAGGTCAGCTTGGTTTACAGAGGGAGTTCTAGGACAGGTTCCAGGGCTAAAAAGAAATCCTGTCTCGAAAAGAAAGGAAGGAAGGAAGGGAGGGAGGGAGGGAAAGAAAGGAGGGAAGAAGGTAGGGAAAAAGGAAGGAAAGAAGGAAAGAAAGAAGGGAAGAAGGGGAAACGGAAGAAAGGGAGGAGAGGGGAGGGGAGGGGAGGGGAGGGGAGGGGAGGGGAGGAAGGAGGGAAGGGAAGGAAGAAAAGAAGGAAAAGATAAAGAAAGAAGGAAAGCAAGCAAGCAAACAAAAAAGAAATTCAGAGACTTTTGAAAGCAATGTGAAAATGGATCCTCACCTTCCAGTTAGTTTCAGACAGGGTCCCAAGTCACCAAGCTGGCCTAAACATATTTTATGTAGCAAGAAACCCTTCAACTCGTTTTTCTGCTTCTGCCTCTGCTTCTCAAATGCTGGGATGATAGGCATGTGCCACCATGCCTAACTCGTCTATACACGTTCTTCTCTGTTTTCAAACCAATTCACCTACAAATTCACAAATTCAGGCACATTGCCAGTTTTCACCTCTCCCTGCACAGGAACCCTTTTCTCATTAAAAAATAAATAAATAAAATAAAAAGCCAAGTTCGCTTCCATGAAGTATAAAAAAAAATTTCTAATAGAGTTCCATATGCATGCATGTGTATACGCGTGTGTGTCTGTTTTGTCTTTGTGTGTGTGTGCACATGGGTGCAGGTGCATGCCAGAGGCTGGGGACAGGTGTCTTCCTCAATCATTTTTCCACCTTTTTTATTTTTATTTTTAAATGACTTATTTCTCACTGTCTAGCTAGAATGGATGACCAAAAAGCCCCAGGGATTCTCCTGTCTCTGGTTCCTCAGTGCTGGAATTGTAGGTACACGACAACACAACTGGCTTTTTACATTGGTATTAGTGATGTAAATGGGTCTTCATGCTTGGACAACAAGTCCTTTCCCCTCTGTGCCATATCTTCAGCCCCTAATACCCAATTTTTTATGGAATATTCCTAGGTGACCTAGTCATTCCATCTCATGCGAGCATTCTGTTAAGCATGATGTGTATGTATGTATATATGTATGCTTGTGTGTGTGTGTGTGTATATATATATATATTTATATATTTGTATTTTTTAGAGTTTCTCTGTAGCTTTGGTGCCTGTTCTGGAACTAGCTCTTGTAGACCAGGTTGGCCTCAAATTCACAAAGATCCTCCTGCCTCTGCCTCCTTAGTGCTGGGATTAAAGGCATGCACCACCACCACACGGCTGATGTATAAATTTATACCGAAAGAATTTGGATTCCTGATAGAGTTTTCTAAGTTTATATATACTGGAAAGAGGAGAGGTGGTACTAATTTTGCTCCTTCAATATAACTATATCTAAAGTATGCACTGCTCTTGAAGACAAAGCAAAGATTAACCAATAATAAAACAAGCCATAATGTCTCACTGGTCAAATTGCTTGCCCTTCAACAGTAAATGCTGGAGTTTGTTTCCTAAGAACCCATGTAAAATGACAGGTAGCCATGCTGCTTTGTCTTAATCTCATCCTCAGAAGGCAGAGAGCCACGAAATTCCTGGAATAAGCCAGTCCAACAAGACTAGCCATATTCGCAAGCTCTGGGTTTAACTGAGAGACCCTGCCACAATAAAGAGGAAAAGAAATGGGAAAGGATTCCCAACATGCCTTAGGCCTCCAAATGTATAAACACACGCGCACACGCGCGCACGCACGCACGCATACACACACACACACACACATACAAATGAAAATAAAAAGTTAGATAAAATGATACTTGTCAGCTATTCAGAGACCTCATCTCTAAAATATGTCATTAACTGAAATAAAAGCATTTCCAAATGGCCAATGAGCTATAAGATAATATCTTCAATCAGCAGCATGGTGGCATGTGCCTGTAAATCTAGCACTCAGGATGCTGAACAGGAGGATTTGGTAGAGTTATGTAATCAAGTGATGGCACCACTTCAAATGAACATCTCCAGTGAGAGACGGTCAGGATAAGAAGGGCAACCACTGTGCAGAGGCAAGGGAACGGATCTGATGAGAGTTTACCAGGGCCAGCCGGACTGGGACTGAACGAGGACGTGATCTAGCCAGATTCTTGGAATTTGGCCGGATTCTCTGACTGTGGCTGGCCCGGGGTCTTTCTGAAAAGCCATTGACTATGACACTGGGACCTGTTTCCTCTGCATATGCTGGATTTTGGGGATCCAGTCTGTTTGGACGCTCGCCTTCCTGGACCTGGAGGGAGGGGGAGGGAGCTGGAGCTTCCCACAGGGCAGGAAACCCTGACTGCCCTGGGGGACGGAGGGGAAGGAGGGGGGGAGTGGGGGGAGTGGGAGGGTGTTGGGAGGGGGGGCGGAAATGGAAACTTTTATAATCTAATAAAATTTACTAAAAAAAAAAAAAAAAAAAAAAAAAAAAAAAAAAAAAAGAAGGGCAACCACTGTGCAGAGGCAAGGGCTGCTGCTGCACAGCCTACACTCTATAGGGCAGATCCCTCAAAGTGATATGCCTTGAACATGAATAGCGAGTAGAATAGAAACCTGAAATGTATTAGAGTAATATTCTGTTTCTCCAAAAGTAAAAATAACATAAACAAAGCATTTGTATGTTCTTATCCTTTTCTTTCCATGTGATTTATTAGAGAAAGACTTTCTAATAAAAACGATGTGATCATAGTTTTCACCCAGACAACTGACTGAGGATGTATGGACCATCATAGGCTGGTCAAACTGAGACACCGCTCAGGCATGAGTCTCTACCCAGAAATGCTATTTTTCTTTAAATGATCACTAATCATTTTTATTGCAGTCAGAACCTAATCCAACTGGTTTTTCAAGTGTACTTAATATGAACAAAATTGAACCAATTAGCTCTCTAATTAAACCTAATCGAAATGAATACACAATTCAGCTTATGTCACTGTCTACAATGGCTCAAAAGTACATTTTTAAAAAACAGAGTTTAAGTGACTACAAAAATCAAATATACTGTAAAATTTCTAGATGAGTTAAAAAGCCTAAGAAAGTAATTGTAATCTATACCAAAAAAAATTCTATACACCTTCCCACAGATCCATCTAACACAAAATTTTAATAATTTCCAGATAATTCTGCAATTATAAAAAATGGCTTACTTGTCCTCTGCCAGGATTTTCCTTTGGAACAAGCAGAGAAACCACTGGTCCATATTTCTGACACTCCTCTTTGACATCTTCTACAATATCTGGTGAGAGAACCACATAACAGCAGGCCGGTTACTACGTGAGGATGCACTGACACATAGCTAAGTAGCGAAGCTATTTTCCTTACCTTAGGGAAAAAAGCTTAAAATATATAAAGTCAGAGCATTAACAACTTAATAGTCTATATTTAATGTTTTAAAATTCCCAACTGTCATTCTGTTTTTCCTCTTAAAGTCAACCAGCACCATGAAGTTACCACTGTATCTGCCAGAGTGTTATCAGTGTACACAAGCAAATTTTGTGTAGTTTAAGCAACAATTTCAACTTTAGTTATTTCTTAAGTATATCTTTGTAGTTTTCTAGATTTTAAAAATTAGGTGTATTTATTTTAACTCATTACTTAATTAGTTTATTTAAGTGTTTTAACTGCATATATACATGTGCAACACGTGACCGCAGAGCTCCCTGAGGAAAGAGGGCATTGGCTCCTCTGGAACTGGAGTTGTAAGACCACTGTGAGCGGCCATGTGACTGCTGATCCACCTCTCTGGACAGTTTTCCATGTTATTAAGTGAAATATTCTCATTTGGTTTTATGACTATGTACTTTTGGACAGTTTACTATATTCAAGAAATTACCCAATGTCTCCCAACTGATGACTACTTAACTATTTCAAAACTTCTTGATACTGTAAACAATACTATTTACAATTCATTTCACTTCATTATTTCTTGCAGTTGATATTCTAGAAATACCATTGCTAGGTCAAAGCTGACATAAACTTGCAATGTTGTTACAATTATCAGATTGTCTTTCCTAAGGGTCTAACATAAACTCTTTTAAGTAGCGTAATCAAAAATTTGTTTTCCTATTCCCTATAGTTTTTGCTGTTTCTGTGCCCAGCAACAAAGACATAGCAATCTGGTTTGAACTGACGTAAACTCACTCCTTTCTACCATAAATGTTTATTGGGTGCCTACTATGCATTCTTCCAAGTGTGCTACAATCCAGTTCTTAATCAGTCAACAAGCCTGTTAGGTATGTGCACACTGGCTACTGTTGAAATTTTAACTCTTTTCCAACAAGTAAGTTATGCCAAGCTGCTGCTCCCTGAACATGGCACACTTTCTACTTGATGTTACTTCTTCCTACCACTCACCTTTTAGGTGACTCATCATTGAGCTCAGCTGTAACCTCACTGATCACTTAAGCTAGGCTGAGCACCTTTCTCTGTTGTCATTTGTATGTGTTTCTCTTGCATTAAAAACAAGAAATAATTCCATGTGTCTGAATGAAAAGGCTGTTAAAAGGCACAGAGAGAGAGAAAGAGAGAGAGAGAGAGAGAGAGAGAGAGAGAAAGAGAGAGAAAACAGAAATGACAGCACAGAGGAGGGACAGAAAACATAGATCAGAGACAATTTTATGGGTAAATATTAATTTGGTAAAATAAAATGTCAGAGTCCAAATGACTTTATGAATCTAAAAAGCATAAATATTTTAGACATCACAGAGTTCATTGGCCTGTTTAAATTTTGTGTTTAGAAAAAAACAGAGGAATCTTATGAATAAAATTCATATTATACAGACATTGGTCATACTGTGTGTGTAAGAAACACTACAGTATAATTTGGGAAGCACTAACCTTCATATTCATCTTCATTTTTAAGATAATCATCATCCAGCACATTGAGGAGTCTGAGCACTGGAGTTGGAAGCATCACCAGATCTTCAATATGAGGGGCTGTAAAGGTTCATGACAGTATGGTTAAATGTAATAAACTGAGGAACTGATCAAATAAGGAACCTGAGAATATATACAGATAATTGCCAAAAGACCAGGGAGGGGACATAATGACAGATACAACTTACCAAAAGGAATGCTAAAGAATGGGCTGCACAATGCCATCTCAGCAGGAATCCTTCTGCTTGGGTCATCATGAAGCATGCTGAAACATAACAATGTCATTATGATTACTGCCAGATCTTCTGAAGGTAAAACTATCAGAAAAACAAAACAAAAACAAAAACAAAACAAACTCAGTGTTCCTCTCAGCACCTCCTTTATTCTCGTGGATTACTGAATCATTCCTCCATGGAGAATAGAAAGGTCACTTGACTAACAGTGCAAAAAACCATGAGACATTTCTGACATAGTATCATGCTATGATTTAATGTTTCTGACTAAAAAATGAAACAGCAAAGTGATGCACATGCTATAGCACAGTGGGGCAGGAGCTAGACAAATGTTTATGATAGCACAATAAAAAAAACAGGCAAACAAAAAGCAAAAACAAAAACCAGAAGATAGTGGTAGGGTAATCGAATCTTGCCAAATTCTCCTAATCTTAAAACAATCTTATGTAAAAATTTACAGGTAATAATACCAGAAACAGACTATTAATAGTAGTAATATTCTCACAGTATAGGCATTCATTTATAAGAAAGTAGAGAATAAACATGTGTACAGATAATAAACAAAAGAAAATAAGGCAGGAGAACAAAACAACAAGCCAAACAGATATCACTGGGAAGTGCAGCAAGCAAATTTTAAAAAAGCAGATGAAACTACAAGGGACTACTGCACTTACACCAGGTAAATATAAACGAGTCTCTGGGAAATCCTAAGAGCTAGAGTAATCCAGAAACTAAGACTTCCTAAAATAAGCAGCCAAGACACTGTCATGGAAAACCGCAGTGAGAAAAAAAAATATTGGGAAAAGAATCCAAATGATTAAAATGGGGGAAGACAGGAAGACAGACAGAAGGAAAGTAAAATTTATTAGAACAAAAACAAGGAAGAGTCAGATTGCAGGATAGGGAAAAAACACACCTTTCCCCCTCTTGTTTGTGGCTATGAGACAATGTCTCACGTGTAGCTAAGGCAGCCTCAAACTACAGCTCTCCTGCCTCCACCTCCCAAACATGGGGATTACAGACATGCATCATCATGTCAGCTTTCCTTGAACATTACGTAAAAACAGCAGAAGAATGACACTTATATAACTAGAAAGGCTATCTTAATTGCTCTGCTTTGTTTGAGACAAGGTCTCACTACGTAGCTCTGGCTGGCCTGGAACTCTCTTTGTAGACCAGGCTGGCCTTGAACTCACAGAGTTCCTGCTACTGTCCTGGAATGCAGGGATTAAAGGCCTGCGCCATCTCATCTGGGTAAAATTCCTATCTCTAAGGGAGTTAACATCTACACTGGTAGGCAAATCAGTAACACTAATATAAATTTAAAAAGGAAAAAAAAACACTTTAACTGGTAAAGTCTGCAAAGCAAGTTACACTGCGTCTAACATACCTTTTGATAAGGTCTCTGAGGTGATAGGCTGGAATTGCGGCATTCACCACTGCTTTACTGGCAAATATATGATCAATAATAGCAGAACTGTTTGCCTAAAAGAGGGATAAAAGTCTTCCTTAGGTTATTCAGCTCAGCTCGCATTTACTGAGCAGTAGCCATGTGGCACTATTCCATGAGCAACACACGACACCTCTTCCAAGGACTTACTTATCATCTTAATGGAGGAAACTGCATTATGGTGAATTTCTAGAGGCACTAATTAATATAATACCTGGCACTATGAACATCTTCAAAACTCAAGAAATCACACAGAGATGAAATTTTATGAATGAATGTAATAGGTGGGTCATAGAGCCTAATGATGAGTCTTTGCTAGTATTCAGGTGAAATAAACTGTCACTGAGAAAAGAAGGAAGCATGAGAATGCTGCCTTTCCCACATTCCATTTGTAGATGACAGACAGATAGCACTTGCTCCTTGAGTACTATGATGTTAATCTTCACTGTCAATTTAGAATCACTGAAGACACTGGCAAGGTATACTTCTTGGGTACACCTGATAGTGTATGTCCAGAGATTAACTGAAGGGAGAAGACCTACACAGCATGTAGGTGGCACTATCATACGGGCTTGAGTACAGAATTAAGGGAAAAGGGAGACAGCCACCAAGCACTAGAATGCCCCCTCTCAGCTTCCTAGCCACCAGGATGCAAAGTGCCCTGCCACATTGCTACACTCTTCCTGACAGCATGGACCAATACCTCTGAAACTGTGATCCAAAATAAGTATTTCTACTAGTTATAAAAATGTAACTAACAATATGCAGCAAGTACTATACTAACTCAGAATAACTGTGTAAATAACAAATAGCAGACAACCACAATAACTAGGATCTACTGGTTACTTACCACGGACCACACACTATGCTGAAAAACTACGCAACATTTCTTTTTTAGTTTTAGTACTCTTATAAGACATTACATCCATAGTCTTCTTACATTACAGCAAAGTAAGAGGTTTAATGAACCCACATAACTTAGTAAGAGGTGAAAGTGATATATAGTTGAACTTCTGAATCTATGCTCACACAAGCTTGGCAATTTTGCCTCTGCAGAAGGCAGTAAACAGATGACACTATACCTAGAGAGACACATATTTGAGATTCCATTAGTATATGTTATGCCTCCAAATTTCACACAGATTTGAGTGACTTATTTCTGATGTGCTCTGGGACAACTAGAAACAGTTCAAAGGGCCTGAACACAGTTTAAGCTAATTTAAATGACTGACCCATATTCAGATAGACATTAAAGAACACTTAGCTTGTTAGCTATTTAGAAATAGTAATAGAAAGAAAATAACATTGGTTTTATGCCCATACACAGCATTTTTTGGGCCAATAATAAATTTAAGGTAATCCCACTAGAGAGTGTATTTCTTCCAAGAATCACTAAACCAGAAATCAGTGACTAGGGTTTAGCACAAATGAAACTATATTATAATGGCTATCTACTATTCGTTAGATGTTTCTTTGTTTATGGTTTTTCAAAACAGCATTTCTCTGTGTAGCCTTGACTGTCCTGGAACCTGCTCTGTAGACCAGGTTGGCCATGAACTCAAAAAACCATTTGCCTCTGCCTCCTAGGATTAAAGGTATGACTACCAGTGCCCGGCAGCTAGACATTTATTACTATAATATTTAATTTCAAATACTTATTACTTAAAACTAGATTCAACGATAATGTCAAAGTATTATATATAGAAATATTGAGAACTTCATCATAATAAAACATCACAATACATCTGGAAAACTAATTAGGATGAATTCCTAATTTAGAGACATACAAAAAGTTCATTTCAGCCGGCGGTGGTGGCACACACCTTTAATCCCAGCACCCAGGAGGCAGAGGCAGGTGGATCTTTGTGAGTTTGAGGCTAGCCTGTTCTGCAAGAGCTAGTTCCAGGACAGGCTCCAAAAGCTACAGAGAAACCCTGTCTTAAAAAAACCAAAAAAAAAAAAAAAGTAAAAAGTTTATTTCAGTGTCTGAGGTTTGGAATTTAAAACCATCTCCCGCAGAAAAAACAAAAGCAGTAATCACTATACCACAGTCACATAAGCTAACTAGACAGTGCAGAATGTGTAACAGTCTATGGAACAGTAATAAATACAAAGTACTATGGAGCTAAGGAACACTTTTAATAAGAGAACCTAGCACATGACCTGGAACCAGCTATATTATACAACTCTAGCAGCCAATAGGACTGTTCAGAAAAGTTAACAAGATTGTGCTACAAAGTACCTTTTAACTGTAAAAATCAATATAAAAGATTATTATTTAAATTATTACCTATAATTTTGCTAGAAATACTTCTGAAGCTAAGATAACTAACTTGATCAACAAAGGAAATTTCTTTTTTGGGGGTGGAGGGGTGTTCAAGACAAGGTTTAGAGCCCTAGCTGTCCTAGAACTAGCTCTGTAGACCAGGCTAGCCTCTAACTCACAGAGATCCACCTGTCTCTGCCTCCCCAGTACTGGGACAAAGGGCGTGTGCCACCATGATCAAGTAACAAGGAATTTCTTTTGCCAGTTTGGGAAAATGCATCCTAACACTTCAGCAAATGCTCACTGTACCCCAGGACTAGACGAACAGCTGTGAGGCTGCAAGGTCAGTGTATTCGAAGCTGCAGGGATAAGTAGAGGCACTGAAGTATAGAGAACACGAAGGACAGGAGGCGATCAGATTCTCTGACCAAAAACAAAGAAAACATCATAAAGCAAATTCCTAAACTGATGAAGACCCCAAAGCAAAACCCTCGTGCAGTTTACCTTCCATTCCTGAGATCTGACTGTATGTTTCAGTTTCATTCCTGAGAACATTTCCAGTAAAATGATTCCGAGACTCCACAGATCAACAGCTGAGGTACATTCTGTATCACTCTGCAGGCCAGCCTGGGCCAAGCAATTTTGCAGTTCTGCTTCTGGAGCTCGATACCCGTCTGTCTGAATATACTTTACATCCTATGAAGACAAAGACACACTGCAGCCATAAGAAGGCTCTCACTTCCCATCCTTCTATATCACAGTCTTCAAAGGCACCGTAGTGACCGACAAAACCAACACCATAAGCTTTAGTCCTCATCTACCACAATTCTTCAGCTCCTTTTAAGGGAGGTTAGCACAGAAAAGCTGCACGCATTCCACACAGTTGCTCAAAAAGAAGTTTTTTTTTTTTAAAGACAGTTTCTTACCTATTATGATAAAGACCCTCTGCAAAGCCCTGATAAATCATAGAGAAAGGGGGATTTGCCTGAATTGTCATATCTGCCATCAGTCATGGATAAGAGTCCCAACAGCAAAGAAACAGGAACAGCAACCCGGCAACTCAACAAATGCTGACAGACCGAAAAGCTTTCAATGTGGGCTATGCATGCTTATTAATTTCTGAGCTTTCAGGAGACTTAATAACTCCTTCTACCTGACCCAAATTTATGTCCTTGTTTCACAAATCATCACTGAAGTTCTTTTAATTTTTCTCTTAGAAGCACCATGCTGCTTTGCAAGTGTCCCTTTAGTCTCTAACCTGTCACTGTTATTAAAAACATTTGGCTTGGATCATCAGAGTTCAAACCACAATGGAGAAGAAAAGAATCTTACCTGATTGCCTTCTTTGAAGCTAAGTCCAAAGTCAATAAGCTTAAAGCACTCGTTCTCTGCACTCCACAGAATGTTTCGTGGTTTGAGGTCTGCGTGGACATAGCCCTCGTGGTGAAGGAAAGCAAGGGCCTCCAGAACATCTCTGGCACAATGCTGTATCATCCACATGGAGCAACCCTGGTGACTGGAATATAAAAGCAATTCCGAAACACTGACATCCAGGAGTTCAAGCAACAGACAGCGTGATGGCACATTTGGAGGTAAGTGTATGGTAAAGACTCCATATAAAGTCACTACAAAAAGAAAACAAATTACAGTACTTTAAACACCAAATTCATAGTAACTCACTACCAAAGTAGTTAACTCTTCTATATAAAACCTAATTTTTATGTGTGTGCACACACACACACATGCATGTGAGACTGCTGTGAGAGCTACTATTATAGTAAAAAAAGGAATTTCCCTCTAGGTAGACTTTATTTACCTTCTTAAGAGCTAATCCAGTTGGTGGGTTGATGACCGAAGGGCCTAGCCCTAACCATGCTAAAGAGGTAGAAGGTATATTAGTCCTTTCATGAGATATTTATTTCCCCAGAATTCCTGCCCCTGGCTCAATCTCTTCAAAAGCAAACAAGCAAACAAACAAACAAACAAAACCATGCTTTTCTCAATCACTTTCTCAAAGGGACCTCCAGGCCTTGTGGTTGTGTGACCACCCCATCTCCCTACCAAACACCGCTGGCCTCCACATTGGCTCGCCACTGGCAACATGGCTTCTTCTTTTATTTTCATTTTCTTCTCCTCAGAGCAGCTGCTGAGATTTCAGCTTGCCTTCCCCCAATGAAATTGTCCTCCAGCATTTCCCCAGTGTCATTTGACCACTGAGGCAGTATGCCCCCAAATCTCCAGCAACATTGGGAACTGAACTCAAGTCCTCTCCAAGAACAGCTGAGCTACTCTACCTCTTGCTCCCAGACAAGGATAACTTTGATCAGCAAGAAACTTCCACTATTTTCCAATGAGTAAACTCTTTGGACAGTGGGGTTATTTAAATAAAATAAAATATTGTATATGGCAGTAGTAGGTGAATATGCACTTAAGATGTCAGGAAAAAATTATTTAAAGTAAAAATCGTAACATTAAGTAACCCTTAAAAACAAGTTGGTTGATTCATATCTTAAATAGTAAATAAATAAATCAAGACATTGCAGATAACATTTTAATGTAATCTCTCAGGGAATCAACAAGTACGGAGGCTTGCAAAAATTTTCCCTGACAAACATCAAGGTTATGGTGATATTCCACTTAGCAAGCTTAACAAAAGAAAAACACTAGTATCAGAAAATTCTTCTGCCAACAAAGAAGTATTATAAAAAGGTCTTCAATTTATACACGGATTCCGTATACCACGACGTAGAACCAATACAAGCTTACATTCTGAATATCTGAGTCACGAAAGTCTTACTGGAGCAAATGCAGAGCTCCTAAATTTCACTCTTCCATAACTTCTAGGTAATAATATATCCCCTCTGCCAAATCCACACTAAATATGTAGCATTTGAGTTGCTAGTATGTCATTAGCTGTCACTGATGTCACTGGATGCCACAGCCCTAGAATATTTTCCATTTTCTATTGGAAGGAAAAGATGCAAAGATTTCCACTCAAGACATGACAACCTAGCAAAGGAATGCCTTTCGCTGCAGAAGGCATTTCTCTATGCTACTAAGTATAGGCTGAAAACCGAAGCAGACAGGACTTTACCAAGCACTGCTATGTGATAATCACCTCCACCATACCTCAGAGCGCTGCAAAGGAAAGGCGGATGGAAAAGGGACCTGCACCGGGCGATAACCAGGGAGGCTCAATTCTCTCCTCCCACCTAAAAGGACCAAGGGTCGAAGGGGCGAGGGCGGCGCTGAGGACAGGTATGCTGGGAGCGGGACCTGGGCAAGAGACGGGAGACGGCCACAATTACCGATGTTCCTGTGACCCTGCAACTGCTCCAGCGCTGCCCTCTCTTTGCGGAAACCATACTCCGCGGCCGACGCCGCAGCCCCGGTGGTTCCCGGAGGCAGGAACTGCTTGAGGGCTCCGGGGGGCGAGCCTGGGTTGCCGCAGCAGCGCACCCGATACACCGAGGCCGACGAGCCGCTGCCCAGGCGGCTCTGTACCTGCCACAGCCGCCCGAAGGCCTCCAGGAAGCGAGGCGGCTCGGCGCCCCAGGCGCAGCCGGACCCCGCCATGGTGCGGGCTGGGGCGA